CCAAGAGGAGACAAGGCCAGCGCTAAGGCAGAGTGAAAGCTTAAGCACCAAAACCATTGGTGCTATAAATATAAAAAGACATGGTCTCAAGCCCAACTAACTGGCCAGGTCCAGTGCCTTTTCTTCTTTCCCACAGCTGCCAGAAGGGTTAATGGAAGGGGCCTTCTCTGGGCGCAACTGCACTGTTGCTTGCCATGGCTACTAATCAGCTTTCCCATGGGTTTCTTCTTCTTCCCTAGGTTGCCCACCAGGCTTCCATGGGCTGAGCTGCCAGGAGCTGTGCGACTGTCACAATGGAGCCACTTGTGATCCAGTGACTGGGCGGTGCCTGTGTCCTGCTGGCTTCTACGGTGCCCGCTGCCAAACAGGTATGGCACGTTCAATGCTGTCAATCATGGTAACATCATGGTATGACAGCTGTAGTGCTGGCCAGGGGACGGGCTTCCAGCTCCTGCTGGGCTCTCTGTGCATGGCTGGGCTTGTGGGAACACTGTGCTGTCAACCCACACTGCGCTGAGAACCACTGTCTGAAAAGTAGGCACACTGAGTTGTTTCATGGTGCTCTATGCTTAAGCTGTGCGTCTGCTCAGCCCTTATCAGCTGCCAATCCACTGGGCTGCCAGTGTGCCCACAACTGCCAGGCAACTGTGGCCCAGGAAAGGGTGTTACAAGCACTGGCACCCTGAATCCTGAGGGCTAGTTACCTGCCTCACTTGCCAGCGGGCCTTCAGAGCAATGCGAGAGCTGTTTTCAGCTCTTTGGTGCCAGCTGAATTTTAGACAAGTGGCACCAAAAATAATAGCCCTGAACCAAGCAGTTAGTTCTGTGTTTCCCCTCCTTGTGCTATTCTGAATCACAGACTGCACCTCACAGCCAAAGGGAGCACAGAGGGTCAGTCCTGTTTCCCCGCCAACCCTTCCACCACTTGAGGCCAACTTTTCCTGCACCTGTTGGCAGCTGAGTCCTGCTCTGTATTTGCTATGGCTTCCATCCAAGGGGAGCTGTGCTCTGAATAGCCCTAGCTGTCCCAGCCGCACGTCTGACAGCATCCCACCTATCTGTTGACATGGTCACTAACAGGAAGCACAGGGCTTGGCATCCTTGGCACAACTCTCTGCTGCCCCTAACCCTCTTCTTTTATGACTGCAGGTTGTGAAGCAGGGAAATATGGGGAGGGATGCCAGAGAACATGTGACTGTGAAGGCAATGTGCCATGCGATCCAGCCACTGGGCGCTGCCTGTGTCCTCCTGGAAAAACTGGGCCCAAATGTGACTTGGGTGAGTGACAACCTGGATGGGGTTGGGATGGTCATTCCCCATGGCTTGGGCTTGCAGGGTTAGCATTACAATGACACTTGTGGGGCTGCAGGTGTTCTCGTGGGGTGCAGCACTGCTTAGTGCTAAACCCCCATGCTGTCTGCTGTCAGAAGGCACATGTCTACTGGTTGCTGGTCGGCTGGTTGGCACTCGGAGTCAGGGAGCCACATCCAAGACAGGCATGGGAGGGGGAAGGATGGGTGCTGAAGTGCTCTCATAGCCCCTGGGGTAAGGTCTGTACATTGGTGTTCAGATTGGGAGCAGCTGCTGTGGTCCTTGTACTGAGAGATTTACAAAAAAAAAGGGCTTCAAGCTTGCAGGGTCTCTTTCCATGTTCATGTCCTGCCTGTCCAGTAGTGATGCAGTAAAGCCCCATGAATGTGCTGAAACAATTTGAGGTCCTGCAAAGACTCTTAACAGCTTTTCTTGCTTCCCTAGACTGTCGCACAAATAAATATGGCCCAGACTGCACCATGACCTGTGACTGTGCCACACTCAACTCTCATTGCAAAGCCCAGAATGGCCAATGCCTTTGTATGAATGGGTACATTGGCCCCACCTGCCGAGAAGGTAACTGACTGCTGAACAAAAAGGTGGGGCTAAGATGGGACTGGCAGGGGCTAGTGCTCTTGATGTACAGCAGTAAATGGCTACACAGACACATTGCCTCAGTCATATTGTCTGGGTGCTGGTCTCACCATCTCTCTATTGGCGTTTGCAGAACTGACATCATTTACCAAACGTACTAATGTAGAGACACAGGCTGGCCTAGGCAGTCCCTGAGGTCTCCCAAGCTGTTACCACCCCCACTGTGCCTAATGGTGGGGCATTTCACTGCAGAAAGGGTTAGTGTGTCTAAAGGGCCAGTGGCTATTAGTGAAAACAAGCCTCTGTATTAAGTTTCTCCCAAGTCTGACTCAGCCTCAGGGGACCAAGTCAGCACAAAACTAACACTGTGATACTGCTGTAGAATAAAGAGCGTCCTCCTTGTGGGGTTTTTTGCAGGTGGCCCCCCTCGTCTTCCAGCTGCTCAGCGGTCAGACGCGGAGTCAGGTCAGTAATGTTTCTTCCCTGGAGCTTTGAACTAATGCTAATCCACTTCTTATCACAACTGAGGCACCTGGGTCCTGCAGGCCCGTGGGGTCTGAGTGGAATTTAACCCCCAACTCATTGCAGGGATCCAGGCAGTACAAGGCCTTTTATGCTTTATGTTCATTGCTTTAATGAAAGTGTAACAGCCCACACACCCAGCTCAGAAGCCACCAACCCAACTTCTAGGGCAGATACCCAAGGCACCTCCACAACCAGATCCTAATGCACAATGCCAACCTGAAGAGCAGAGACCAAAGCCTCTAGGCAACCAAGTCAGCCTGCTCACAGCTGCCTTTCCTCAGAGCCTCTTGATGCTTCCTCGTGTGAGCTACACAGTAGCAAAGCTGCAGGAGGAGGTGCGGAGAATCTGCTGTGCCCATATGAGAGGCAGTAAGCTATTCTGTAGCCAGCCATTGACAACACGAGCCAAGGGTGGGGGAATTCAAACAACCCCCCAGACCCATGCCAAGTCCCAGCAGTTCTGCTCTTCTCTGATCCTTGACTCTTTCTGCCCCATTACACAATGGCAAATATCAAGAGGAAGGGAAGACAGCAACCCAACAGCTAGGGGCTGGGGTTTCACTCTGCTGTGGGAGAGATCCCGGGGTTGGAGGAGCACTTTGACTGTGTCCATTGAAGACGTACCTCAGCTGGGAGCTTGCCCTGCCTTCAGGGCAGAGGCTGGTGCCCCATCCTCTGCATGCAGAAGGCAGGGCATATAGCACCTTAGAGAGGCACAAGCTTCCAAATGCTTCCACATTAAAAAGGTCTTGGCTAAGGACAGCCACAGGGAGTGACAGAGAAAAACTTAAAACCCATGACTCCAGTATAAAGGAACAAGCACCACAAACCCGAGACCAGAAGCAGAAGCTGTTGCCTGAAGCTTCTCCTCTGGACACCTTGAAGTTTCATCTCCTCACTGCACCAAGCCAGTCTCCAAGTGGACATGGAGAACAGGAGGGCCAAACTTTGCCCTGCTTCCCTCCTGGCCTAGGGGTTTGGTTGCTTCATTTGTATACTATCAGGAATCAGTTATTGCTGAATGGAGTGAGCAGGGATTCAGTGCCCAGCACTGTCACTCTTCTTGGAACAGAGATTGCAGGGCTTCCTTGTGATGTGGGACAGGGAAGGACTCAACAGCTCCCCTGTACAGAGGGTCTTGGAGGTTTCCCAGGCCTGATGCACCCTCTGGCAGTGAAGAGAGTACAGAACCTGTCTCCATGGCACAGACACCAGCCCCAATGCTCTTACCAGACACTGCCATGATGCATGTCCTAATGCTGCTGTATTCCTTCAGGGGCCTTGACACTGAAATTAAGTCACTTTATGAACCATTTTTCCCCCATGGAACCTGAGAAGTTTGAAAGGATCAGCCCTCGTACACATGCAAATGCCACTTGAACCATTCAGAAATTAACAGGATGTAATCCCAATGCTCATGTGTGGTAGAGCCCCCTATCCCATCCCTGGGCATTGGCTGCTACTTAATTTAGGCAGCACCTTAATTTTTTTTCTTTTCTGGACTTCGCTTTAAGGCAAGAGTATCAACTGCATCTGGCTCTATGGGCTGGATGAGTGGAGTGGGACCAGTGTGCAAACTGGAGGAGGCCAAGGGCCCCCCCCCTTCCTCTCCCCAGCATCCAGCAGCTGTTCCAGTGAATCTGGGACCTGCAATGTGTGCATCATGGACCCCAGAGCAACACAAAGGGTACCCACATGAGGCACAGTCCAACTGGAGCCAGTATGGGGCCCCCATTGCATGTGGCATGAGTTCCAGATCAGCTGCATTAGGTATGCTAGGGAGGGAGAAGGTTACCCATAGGCCTGATACAGCACACAGGGCAGTCTTGCATTATGCTCTGGGCAGATCTGATCCAGCCCGTAGGTGTATTTTTGACACTACTGTTGAGCTGTACAGTTCCTTGCCACACCTAACTTCTGTACCTCGGTTTTTGCTGAACACAACTAGCATTCACTTTTATCTTATCTGTCCTAGAGCTGGCTACTGCCCATCCAAGTTCATCATGTATTTTAACCAGTACTTTCAGGTTTGAAGATGTAATGTTGTTTTTCCTTGCCTTCTAGGGGTACCCCATAGAAGACCATACCATTCCCTCCATGGCATGTTCCAGCATGTGCATCATTAAGCTACATTGCCCAAAGCCATAAGGAAAACCATCACGGAGGAGTGAGTCACGAGTTGGCTAAGTGAGCCGCTAGCCCATGTTGAAGACTTCCTTACCAGTTAACATTTAACTACAGAGTATTTTACAACAGAATTATGGATCTGTTACTTTTAAAAAGCAAGCTTGAAGATGTCTGTCCCTACCAAGTGCAAATTAAATCTTTGCTACAAGAAGGGAACGTATCTTTAAAAAAAACCTGTAAAAACCTACAGGGCTGGAAACAGATGAAACAGAGTTTTCATCTTTGGTAGCACACAATGCTCACAGACTTCCGGACACAATTTGTTATATTTTATGATGTCCAAGCTGCAGCAGTGCAGACACGGTTGCTTAATCCACTTGGCTAGAGGACTCCTGTGGCTCATCTTGTAATTGTTTTTATACGATTGTTTACCTGCTATTATAGTCAATAATACATATTTATGTAAAGATATTTATGGGAAGATGTACAAATATGACTTCATGCTTGATAGCTAACTTGCCCTTGCTCTCTGGTGGCCAAATAGAGCATGGAGAAGATGTACTTTACCACTTGAGTTCTGGACTTACGATCCATTTTTCCACTTTAATTTACTGTTGGCCACTGGAATATGGCCACTGTTACACACGGGCCTATACTAAATAAATGCAACATCAGTCATAACACTTGCTAGTGAATTGTGGCACGTACTGCAATTGACACTCGCAGGTGAGGGGTCCTCCGAGGGCTGTGTGAACTGCAAGTTAAACTCCTGAGCCCTGTCTTGTGTGCAACTGCTGCTCTTGGCATCACAGGATTCCAGGAGACACCGTCTTGTTTGTGAGTATGAAGCTGTAATAGTGGGTTGTACTAGGTGAGCAAGAGAGAGACTCATTGTTTTATCAAATGAGCAAATCATCATTCATTATATAACCTGGTCTAGATACATTGCTAAACCCTGATCACATTTAAAAAGGCAATCAAAAGTTTACAGAAGGCAATTTTGCATTCTAAGCCACTGCACAAATTTACTACTGTACATTGTCCCTCTTGACTCCTTGGCACAAGAAAATTACATTTTAGGAGAGAGATTAACTTTGAGACTTATTTGATGAAGAATGTATATAATTCCTATGTGTACTCATGGAAATTGATGGATTCCTAGTGCACAATGTGGCAGTATTATGTCAGAAATACCACAAAGTGGTATCTGGCCTGGATTCTAATAAAAATTGAAGGGAAAATGGCTACTTTTCTCAATACATTCAGGATATCCATGTGGCCAGGAACAAGTTGCATGTCTGAGCTGAATGTACAAGGACTACTTAAAAAGCAATGCTCAATTTTTTGCTATGCAGCACATTTTACATCATGTCTACCACGCCACAGTTCATATTGACTGAGCCCTGAGTGGGTTCAATCAGCCTATGCCCCCGAATGCACTCTCCCATGGGAATTTCAGGCAGAAACAAGTCAGGGCATATTCCTGAACAGCACGACTGCATCCATGTATTGCCTCTTCAACCTGCTTTCATGCAGGAAACAACCATGCTGTAAACTCACCCCGCATCACTTCCCTGGGGAGACAGGCCCCATGGAAAGGGGACAATTCTAGTTCCTGTTGCAGTGCAGAGCAAGGCCCAGTCCTCCAGTATGTCGAGGTCACACTGAATCCTAGTGTACCCTCCAGCGTATCTACAACTCCCCCTGCCCCTTGGTGTCACCTGTGAAGGTGCACCCCATGCCATCTTCCAGATCATTAATGAGGATCCTGAACAAAAGCTTGTAAAACTGAGAATACAAAGAGCAAGAAAGGAGTCAACACGAGACTAAAACGTTGCTGCCGTAACTGCTGAGCAGCAGCTGGAGGCTTACTCTAGCTCTCAGCCCCCTGGAGCAAAGTTCACTTCCCAAAGCCTAGGCTGCCACCTAGTGGTGCCATTAGCTGAAGGACCATGAGTAACCAGCTGAACACGGTGGCCCCCTTCTGTTGACAGACAATTATTTCCTCTTCAAAAGCGTCCTCTCGAAGCACTTCACAAACATGAATAAATTCACCTGCCAGTGCATTAGTAACAACACCACCTTGCAGGGGATACATAAAGGCTTAGGAAGTTGGAGTGACTTATCACATGTCACGCAATGCATGGGTCACAGGTGAGACAGTGAAGCTCTGTCTCCTTCCCGTCTTACTCTTGAATTGCAGGCGTGCCCTGCCCCAGTGTGTCTGTTAGTCAGACACTGGTTTGTATCCATGCAGGGGCTGAGAGCATAAGTGCGAGTCAACTGTGTTCCTGAGCTAGTCTGCTCCAGAGACGTATGACTTGTACAGCTTGTAGTGCACCCTGCTACGTGCCACACCTTACAAATATCCTTGCCATACCCTTTCCCATCATGACACGCCACAATTTCCAGGGAGGAGGCAGCAAGACGATTACAGAGTGTGGGGAAGACAATCTTCCTTGTATTTCCCCCACACTCTGTAAGCCTGGCCTTTCACATGAAAAGAGCTGTAGCAACAGGCATGGGGGCAAAGTACAGAGCCCCCCTGCTAATGTGTCTGCTGGAGGCTAGAGGGATCCCTCAGCATCTGAACAGCACCAAGTCAGATTTTGCTTCAGCTGCCTGGTTGCAGGGGTAAGCAAGTGCCACTGCCAGATGTGGCAAGTGGTAGACAGGTGCCAGCAGGCAGGCAGCTCCCCACACCAACCTGCCCAGCAGTAAGCAATACCAGTCCCTCACCAAGAGCTGGAGAGATGGTAACCCCCAAAGCCAACGCTAGCCTTTCTGTTTGCCAGTCAGCTTCCCCCTCCTCCCCACCCCATTTGTACTGAGCACTTCTTTCCCTACAAGATGCAAGGGCCCTTACCTTGCGAGCCTGCCACTGGAAGTCCAGCCCT